CTCAAATACCTATCATATATTAGACTCTCAGTATTTCTTAAAATAGTTAAGTGAACAAATAGGCCACAATTTATTTCTCTGAAAATACTGATAAAATTGACAATTTTCTGGTAAATTTTATCAAAAAGAACAAATGGCATAAATAATCAATACAGGCATTTCTTATTTTATCGTGCCTTGCTTTATTGCACTTCACAGATATGGCATTGTTTACAAATTGAAGGTTTGTGCTGAGCAAGTCTATCTGTGCCATTTTTCCAATAGCATTTGCTCACTTCGTGTCTCTGTCACATTTTGGTAATTCTTGTAATATTTCAAACCCTATGACTTGCTAAAGGCTCAGATGATATTTAGCAATTTTTAGCAATAAAGTATTTTAAAATTTTTTTAGACACAGTGCTATTGTACACTTAATAGACTACAGTATAGTGTAAACATAACTTTTATATGCACTGGGAAACCAAAAAATTTATGACTTGCAATATTCCACCACTTTACTGTGGTGGTCTGGAATCAAACCCACAGTATCTCCAAGGTATGCCTGTATTAGGAATGAAAAGAGAGACATGACTTTAACAATAAATGACATAATTTGAACAGCTTTATATGCCAATAAATTAGAAATTTTAGATGAATTAGACAAATAGAAAAAAAAACCTTCTCACACTGTTTCTTGAAGAAGTAGAAAACCTGAATAGTCCTATAATCATTTAAGAAATTATATCAGTGGTTAAAATTTTTCCCAGAAAGAAAATTCTAGGTCTGTAAGTCTTTGTTAGCTAGTCCTTCATTCAAAGATAAATTATTTCACTTTTATACAAATCCTTCTAGAGCATGAAAAAAGAGGAAACATTTCTCATTAATTTTGAGTTACCTGGGTAGCCTGAGAATAGCATGAGAAAGGAAAATTGAAGCCCATTCATGAACATAAATACAAAATGTCTAAACAAAGTGTTAGCAAGCTCACTTGGAAGTATATAGAATAATAATAAATCATGACCCAATTCAGCTTATTCCAGGGAGGCAGAATTGGTTTAATGTAAGAAATTAAATGAATACAATTAGATGGAGTTAAAAATTCAGTTGCTATGCCTTACCATTTAATAGCTTAAAGGGCACCTCTTTAGCCTGATAGAAGTATCTATATTTTAAATAAACAAAAAACTGCCAGAGAAGGAAAATACTGAAATTAACAAATATTGACTAGGATAATGATTATAAGAGTGTAAATTGGGATAATTACTTTAGAAAACTCAGCTTCAACAACATTGAAAATGCACATACCCACCAGTTTTACTTCTAGGTAAACATTGTAGAGAAATTCTTGTATGGACACCAGGATACATACACTCAAAGGTTTATAGCAGCATTATTCATGATAGTAAACTAGAAACCATCCAATGTCAATCAGTAGAAGAATGGATAAATAAACTAATGAGTTACTATTCAGCAGTGAAAATATACAGCTACTGCTATATCCCCCCTTGGGTGAATCTTACAAACCATAATTTGTATCTAAAGAAGTAAATCACACAAAAGGACAAATGTATTATCCTACTTATAGGAACTATCTAGAATAGTCAAACTCATAAAGACAAAAAGTAGGATGGTGATTGATAGGGGCTGGCTTGGGGGCAGAAGGGGAATTAATGTGTCATGGATACAGAGTTTAGGTTTGGGATGATGAAGAAGTTCTGGAGATGGGTGGAGGTTATGGTTGTACAACAATGTGAATGTACTTAATGCCACTGACCTGCACACTAAAAAACGCTTAAAATGGTAAATTTTATGTTATGTATATTTTATGGCAATAAGTAAATTACACTTGTATCCATAAAGTATAATTGGATTTATGAAAAAATTCAAAGGTAAGAAAACTATTGTTTAGGAATATATACATATGTAATAAAACTTTAAAGAAAAACAAGAAGGACATTACAAATATCAGTGATGATCTCTAGGAGTAATTTTTTTGTTAAGTCAATATAACTTTTGGCATATGTTGTGGAAAGAATTCAAATAACTGCACGATACAGCTGTAACAAACCTATTCCCATCGGCTTTGTAATATAAACCAAATTTTTCATTTCTTATAGCTATAAAAATTAAAATAGAATCTGTCTGAATCCTTGTTTCATTCAGCAATAGCTAACATTTATCCTTGGATCATGAACTGACCAGGAAAACGAAAAAACCCAACAATCTCATCAAAAGGCGCATATCTAGTAAAATTTTACTTTTTATGTTTTAATATTTACCTATCAAAATTTGTAATATAAAATGTTGCTTTGTTCAATTGTCTACCGAAAATAATTATAAAATTAACTCAATCCAGAACAAAATTTGTACTGCTTAGAAACTTAGAGTCAAGGAAATTAAAAATTTCATACATATTTTTATAACATAAATATGATAGGAAGATCAACAAAAGTTGTTCAAGTGTATTACACTAAGGTAAGATTCTGTGGGGGAAGTGGAATGGAAATATGAATTCAAAGAGAAAAGAATTAAAATTTTTATTAAAGAAAAGCTTGTTCATATTTTTTTATTTGATATTGGCCGTCAAATCACTATAGTATGTATCGATAGATCCATTGGATATATTTTAAATAGTGATGGATATATTTAAAGGAGTGATGTAAAAGTTTTCTAGAAAGTACAACATTTGAAGTTATTTAAACTTGTGGTAAAAAGTTTTCAATGTCAACTTAAAAATGTGTGAAGGGGGTACATAGCTTTTCAAAATCCTTTTAGGGACTATATGAACAAATAGTTTTTAAAGTTACTAATCAACTACATCTGAGGAGGAGAAACCAGAAAAGAAGTCTAAGAAGGAGGGAAGAAGCAAAATCAGATAGTACCAACCTGAAGGCCAAATGAAGAAAATATTTCAAGATGGAAGAAGAAAACTTCGTCAAATGATGATAACAGATGAGTAAAATGAGGGCCGAAACTTGGCCATTGTCATTGGAAACATGGCCATCTTAAGGGTCCATGACAAGAGAGGTTTCAATGGAACAATAAAAATGAAAGCCTGATTAGAATGGGGCATGCAGAAAATGGGGACGTGAAAGCAGTGGGCAACTCCTTTTAGGCAGTCTAATATAAAGGGTAACAGCATTGGAGCAAAAGAGGAAGAGGGATGTGAAATCCAGGGAGGGAGAGATCTATGAATAACAAGAGGTGTTAATTACAGGACCCAAGTCTTATATAGGCAATAAGGGATAGGATCTAGTGTAAAAGTGGTGGATTCAGACTTAAATAGCAGAAGGTACATCCAGTTAGTTCATCCAGTGTAACAGGAAGGGAGACAAAGGTAGAGGTAGATTAAAAGATCTGGTGTGTAAAGTAGCGTATTCTTAAAAGTTTCTAGTGATGTAAAGTCAACAGCTGAGAGAAAGAGGAGAGGATTTTGGAAGAGTGAAGAGAATGAAATAGCAATAGGAATGCTGTATGGTGCTTAGAGCCTGTTTAAAATGTGTGCTCACAACTTTGAGCTCATGTAGTTTTCTCTGGCAAGGTCCAGCTGCTCCTATTGCTAGCTCAGAATAAGTGGGGAGTTGGGTTTAACTAGAACTAGGAATTTGCCCGCTGAGCTTCTCAGAGGGAGAGGAAAATAGGGGAGGCAGAGATATATAAGTTAGTGATTATGTGATGAACTGTGAAATCTAACCAGGGTAAGGAAGAAGTGACAGTATGTGGGGGTTGATGAATGGTGAAAAAGTGATAGGGCTAATGTATTGGAGACTCCAGTGGAGCATCCTGCAGTAGGTGAGCCAAAAAGAGCAGGTGGTCATCCAAGAGTCTATGTATCCCTAGGATTAACCACTCAATTGATTCCTAAATTTAGATGGTGCACTTCTCTTTCCATACTCTCCCTTAGGGAAAATGGAAGGGAGGCGGTCATCACCAAGATAGTTCTCAAATCTGTATTCTGTAGCCCTGATCTCTTGGCTACATCTCAGTTCTTCAGTTTCAAAGCCTGCAAGCATTGCCTGGATTCTCCACCAGCACTTCATACTAATTAAATTTCTCTAAACAGTTTCTCTTTCAAATTTGAATCTTCTGGACTACTATTCTTCTTTTTTGATTCTTCTCTGACTCCTTCCTCTCCATGTCTCCAGTTTTAATCATTATCAAATAAGTTAGCTTATAAAATATTTATTGGATCCATCCCCCATCTGCATTTCCATTGTCATGACTTTATTAATTATTGTTAATAGTAGCCAAAATGTATCATCTTTACAATCATTTTTTCCCCTAACACCAGGTTTGTTTTCCAGATAATAGCCACAGACCTGGAAAACTTTTAGGGGGTTTCCAATTCTTTTAACACAATGTCCAATCTCTACAGCATAGGCTCCAACCTTCTTTTCCATTCTCATGTCCATCATTACCTCTTCTTGGGGTTTTCCTAGGGCCTATCCAGTGCTCTCCCAACTCCATATCTTATGCCTGCCTTTCCCCCTTGGAGTATCTTCCTCTCATATCTGAATGTTAAAATCTTTTGGGCACAAACTTTAATACTAGATACCCTATAAAAATTTTACTTGATCCCAGCTGTTGAAAACAATTTGGCCTTACTCCAAACTTGCAAAATAACTCTATATCTGTTAGTCATAAAAATATATTTAATTTTTATAGACATGTAGCAGTGTTAAAGATATTTTTACATGTTTTATTTTAATCCTTACAAAAATGAAATGAGGTTTTATTTAGCACCACTTTAAAGATGTGAAAACTGAAAATGAGAGAATTAACTTGTATATACTTGTCACTGTCACTCTTGCCTTTGAATAATTTATATGTTAATTTTCCTACTTGTTTCCACACTTTGTCCTCAAGGCTTTGCACTTAATAGGCAGTCCTATTTGAATGAGTAGAAGACTGGATTCATGAAAGTAAAAGTGTTTTTCATAATTGCTAGTTGAGGGATATGTGTTTTTAAGTAATTTGAGTACATGTGAATAACCTTTTTAAAAATTGTGGCCTTTATTAAGTCTGGCAGTAAGAAAAAGAGAATCACCAAAGCCGACCAGTCGAAGCAGCTACAAGAGGAGGAGGAGAAACGACAAAAGGAGGAAGGTATAAAACACACAGTGGTAACTATTGTCACATGCAGGTAATACTAACAATAGGTTTGTATTTCTGTCATCCAGTCAGTACTTTTTAAAAACAATTTTCAAAATTTTTAATTTTTTGAATTTAATCTGTTTTATAATAGCTATTTACTATTTAAAGGGTACCCAGAAATTTCTGTTAGTACACGCCAATCATTTTCAGATATATCTTGAAGGAGAGTTGCCAGTTAAAATACAGGATGCCTAGTTAAATTTGAATTTCAGACAAACAGTGGATACTTTGGGATAATTTGCCTCATGCAATGTTTTGGATATACTTGAACCAAAAAAAAGAGTCCACTGTTATCTGAAATTCAAATTCATCTGAGCATCCTATATTTTTATATGCTAAATATGGCAACCCTATCTTAATTAAATTAAGTATAAGATGTTTATACTTATTGATTAAATTAAGGGCATTGGTACTGATTGTGCAGTAAGAATTCTGAAACTGAAATTAAATATGGGGAATATACACTAGCAAGAAATTAATGAAAATTTGGTCATTTAAAATAATAAAAAATCACTTTAAAAATCTGAATAGTTTATAAAAATAGAACTACCATATGACCCAGCAATCCCACTACTGGGCGTATACCCTGAGAAAACCATAATTCAAAAAGAGTCATGTACCACAGTGTTCATTGCAGCAGTATTTACAGTAGCCAGGACATGGAAGCAACCTAAGTGTTCATCTATAAGATGAATGGATAAAGATGTGGCACATACATACAATGGAATGTTACTCAGCCATAAAAAGAAACGAAATTGAGTTATTTGTAGTGAGGTGGATGGACCTAGAGTCTGTCATACAGAGTGAAGTAAGTCAGAAAGAGAAAACAAATACCATATGCTAACATATATATATGGAATCTAAAAAAAAAAAAATGGTTCTGATGAACCAAGGGGCAGGACAGGAATAAAGACACAGATGTAGAGAATGGACTTGAGGACACAGGGAGGGGGAATGGTAAGCTGGGACGAAGTGAGAGAGTAATATTGACATATATACACTACCAAATGTAAAATAGATAGCTAGTGGGAAGCAGCTGCATAGCAGAGAGATCAGCTCAGTGCTTTGTCATGACCTAGAGGCGTGGAATAGGGAGGGTAGGAGGGAGACGCAGGAGGGAGGGGATATAGGGATATATGTGTGTGTATAAGTGATTCACTTTGTTATAAAGCAGAAACTAACAATACTGTAAAGCAATTATACTCCAATAAAGATGTTAAAAAAAATCTGAATATTTCAGATGGTTGTAGCTTTTAGCGTGAAGAACATCTGTTGATTCAGATTCAGGTTTTAAATGTCTGTTCTTAGTTTCCATGTTGATTTTTTAATGTATAATCATATAAATCTTTTTTAGGTGACTCATGATAATAATACAGTATCAGGATCTACATCTTGGTGAATGTTTTATTATATTGGGTTAAACTCATATTCTTCAACATATATTTTCTTTTTTAATAGTGAAAGCAAGGGAAGATTAAGATAGTTACTTCTGGACTTCCCTGGTGGTGCAGTGGTTGAGAGTCCGCCTGCCAATGCACGGGACACGGGTTCGTGCCCCGGTCCGGGAAGATCCCACATGCCACGGAGTGACTGGGCCCGTGAGCCATGGCCGTTGAGCCTGCGCGTCCGGAGCCTGCGCTCCACAATGGGAGAGGCCACAACAGTGAGAGGCCCACATACCGCAA